TCCATATTTTTTCTTTATTTCTCTTATCTAACTGGTCCAGCTATTCTTTTGAGAAGTATATTGAACAGGAATGATGACAGACAACATCCTTGTCTTGTTCCTCATTATAGAGGGAAAGCTTTCAGCTTCTAATATGATGTTGGCCATTGTTTTATCATCAATAGCATCAGATTGAGATAAAGACCTACTATATTACTATTTTCTTCAGGGGGTTAATTATGAATAGATGTTGGATTATGTCAAATGCTTTTTCTGAGTCTACTGAGGTGATCATGTGATTTTTGTCCTTGCTTCTGTTTATGTGGTTATTACATTTATTGATTTGTATATGTTTAACCATACCTACATCCCTGGAACGAATCTCACTTGGTCATGATGTATGAGCTTTTCTGGTGATATACTGCATTCTGTTTGACAGTATCTTATTGAGAGTTCTTATATTTATGTTCATTAAGAAGATTGGCCTGGGGCAAGGGATTTAGCTCAGTGGTTCCGCCACCTGCCTCGAAAGCTTAAGATCCGGAGTTTGATCCCCGGTACCAAAAATAAGATCGATCGGCCTGTAGTTCTCTTTTTTGTTTGCTTTCAGGAATGATGTTAGAGGAGTACAGCCTCCTTTTAAATTTCATTAGAGTTGGAAGATTATTGGTGTTAGATCTTCTCTAAAGATCTTGTAGAATTCGGCAGTGAATCTGTTGAGACCTGGGCTTTTCCTAGTGGTAGTTTGTACTTTTTTACTTCTTCAATTTCACTGACTGATACTGGATTATTCAGGATTTTTACATCTCCTTGGTTCACCTTTGGTAGTTCATAAGTATCATGGAATTTACCTACTTCTTCTGAATTTTTCATTTTATTAGAGTACAGGCTCTCAAACTACCTACCAATAATCTAGATCTAGGCAGAATCCATGATGAGTTTATCTTCTGCATTTCTAATTGCATGGATTTGAGTATTTTTTTTTCCTTATTTTAGTAAGATTGGCTAAGGGTTTATCTGTTTTGTTTAATCTTTCAAAGAACCAACTCTTTGATTCATTGATTCTTTGAATTTTTGTCTCCATGTCATTAATTTCTGCTTGAATATTTATAATTTCCTTCACTGTATTACTAGCTTTGGACTTGTTTTTTTCTAGGACGGTGAGGTGCATCATTATTTACTTAGACTAGCTCTGTTTTTTCTGCTTTGGGCTTTTACAGCTATAAACTTCCCTTTTTAAACGGCTTTCATTGTGTCCCATAGGTTCTGGTACATTGTAATGATATTATCTGATTCTAGGAGCTAATTTCTTCCTTGATTTCTTCTGTGACCCACTGATTATTCAATAGGGTATTAACTTCCATGTGTTTGCATAGTTTCTTTTGCCACTGATTTCTAGTTTCATTGCTATAATCTAATAATATGAATGGAATAATTTGGATTCTTTTTTATTTTGAAACAGGGTCTTGCTATATAGTCCTGGCTGGCAGTGATCCTCCTGCCTCAGCCTCCCAAGTGCTGGGATTACAGGCATGAGCCACCATGCCTGGTTAATTTGGATTCTTTTGCATTTATTTAAACATGCTTTATGAGTTAGCATGTGTTATACTTGAGAAAGGCCCATGTGCTGCTGAAAATTTGTATTTTTTTTTAATGGAGCACTCTATAGAAATCTATTCCATTTGTTTGAAGGTTTGGGTCAACTTTAATTTTTTGTTGTTGTTGATTTTTTGTCTAGTGGATCTATTTGTGACAGTGGAATACTGAGGTTCTAACTGTATTGGTGTTTATCTGATCTTTTATGTCCATTCTATTTGTTTCATGAAGTTGTTTACCATTGCTCAGTTGTATATATGATTGCTATCTCTTTCTGTTGGATTATTTCTTTAACCAATATGTAATAGCCTTTTATGCCTTTTTTTTTTTTCGTACCAGGGATCGAACTTTGGTCCTTGCACTTTTGAGGCAGGCAGAGGAACCACTGAGCTATATTAGCCCTTTTATGCCTGTTTTTGATCAGTTCTGCCTTAACATCCTCTTTGTCTGAAAATAGGTTATTTCTGCTTGTTTTGAGGTTCATTTTGTGTGGAACATTGTTTTTCATCTTTTTAGTTTATGAATTTCCTTTTGGATTATATTTGTTTCTTGCATACTGCATATCAATGGGTTTCATTGTTTAACCTATTCTTCACATGTGTTTGACTGGCGAATTGAGACCATTCACATTGAGAGTTACTAATGAAAGATACTGAATTATTCCTGTCATTGAATTATTTTCCTGTTGCTGATTTTTTTCTTTCCTTTCTAGTTAACTGCTCACCCTATCTGGTGTATTCGGTCTATTGGACTTTTTGCATTGTTAGCTTCATTATCTTTTTTTAGGATATTCTTGAAAAATTTTTGCCATGCTGGTTTGATGGTCATAAATTTCTTGAGGTGTTATTATGGAAAGGTCTTATTTCTCCATCAATTTTAAAAGATATTTCTGCAGGATGTATAAGTCTGGGTTGGAAGTTGTTTTCTTTTATGGCTTAAAACACTCCACTCCAAGCTCTCCTGGCCTTTAAGGTTTGTGTTGAGATGTCTGCCACAATTCTATTGGGCTTACCTTTATAAGTGATTCGTTGCTTTTCTCTAACAGACTTTAAGATTCTGTCCCTATGTTAAACATCTGGGATGATGACCCTTATGTGTTGTGGACAGGTTCTTTTTTGACTGTGGTATTTGAGGTTCGATATGCCTCACTTATGAGTATGTTTCTTTCCCTATATTTCAATGTCTTCTGCTATACAAGGGTTTTTTTTATGCCATTTGTGCTGTCTTCTGATACTTGACTAATTTTAGCTCATCTAAGATTAGTCTGCATTGCATCCTGTAAGAGTTGCTGGATCTATTTTTCTTGTTTTCTTGTTTGCAAAGTATCTCTGAATAACTGGTCTCTGATAGCCAACCTATCTTCTGGTTGTGACATTCTGTTCTCACACTGGTTGCTTCTGTTGCAGATATTTTCAATACAGGTTTTAGTCTCCTGGGTTTCTGTTTGGAACCATTTCATGGACTCTAATTCTTTGTTAAATTGGTCATTCATGTTTTGTACCCATTTGTTTAGCTCAGCGAGCTTTTTATTAGTGTCTTCTGTAAACTTTCTCCTATGCTGGACTTAATGTCAGTACTTTCACACTCAACACCCTATGCAAATTACGATTGGTGCGGCTTTTCATCACAGAGGATAGGACTGTCAGGTCCTTTACAATCTGAGTTTGCCATTGCTTAAACTTCTCAGGGGATCTGCAACTAGGCCCCCTCTTCTCTGTGACTGTCTCTTGTGGCTGTCCCATACCCAGTCACTGTGGTAGGATGATCCCAGAGATCCTGAGAAATTTTTCTGTGACTTCTGATTCCTGGAGCATTTCAATCTTAAATAATAAACCACTTCCAAAATGGCTTCTCATTGCATTATTCCCAAGTGTGGTGAACAAGGCAGTGAATTTCTTCTCTGATTCTAACCTGCCATGTGGAAGGAGTCATTTTCACAGTAAAATCCTACACCATGTTTGCAGCTTACAATAACTGCAGGCTTTTCTTTGTGCTAGTGCTGCTGACCCTCTCATGTTTTACAATGTGTTTGTATAGATGAGACAGAAGAGGAGACTTGGGAGCCAAGAAAAACATTTCAGTCTGCTTCATTCTTTTTTCCGATTGTCTTCAGTTTTCCTGCTTTCTCTGTATAGTTTTCCTATCAGCTCTTTTTTTTTTTTGGTACCGGGGATCAAACTCAGGACCTTTCACTTAGGAGGCAGGTGAGGTACCACTGAGCTAAATCCCTGGCCCTTATCAGCTCTTTTTTGATTACCAGAGCTCTACTTTTTTTTTCTCTTTTCTAAGTTGTTGTTTTCCAGATGTCTCAATTCCAGGTCCCAGAGAGGCTGTAATTTGCTGCTGATATTTACTCCATTTTTTTTTTTTTTGGTACCAGGGATTGAACTTGGATCCTTGTGCTTGCGAGGCAGCAGAACCACTGAGCTAAATCCCCAGCGTTACTCCGTTTTTTGAGGGATCCTATTTTTATAATTCTCCAAGTAGTTATCTTTAATTCAAGTTGAGCAATATAATCCAAAATTCCAAAACTGCAAATACTCTTAAAACCTGATGATACCACAAGTGGAAAATTCCACACCTGACCTCATATGATGAACTTCAGTCAAAATGCAGGCACATTAAAAATATTGTATAAAATCACCTTTATAGCCTGTTTAAATTGTATATGAAACACAAATCAATTTTTTGTTTAGATATTGGTCACTACTCAAGATATCTCATTATATAAACTTTGGAATGAGGGCTACTCAACTTACATTTTTCATATTGAAAAATCAAAGGCAAAATATAATATGCAACTTCTTTTTTTTCTGAACAAGTTTTATACATTTACAATTTTGCTCCCATTTGCCAAACACATCTTCATCTTCTCAATCTTACACATAAGCTACAAATAAGCTTAAGTTATATTAACAAAATCAGAAGAGAAAGAGAATTTTAGTACTTAGAAAGTTTTCTTATGATTAGATACTAACTTAAATTTTTATACTACATTGGAGACAAATAATATACAGAAAATAGAAAACCAAACCTCAGTGACCTGACATTCAGTTTCAAAATTAAGTATCACATGTGTTCAGGTTCCAGGGAGTTCTTTTGATATGTTGTTGTTCTCATAAATATTTTAAATGCATTACTTTAAGATGGTACATATTCTCTATTTAGATGTATTTTAGCATGTTTTCACTTTAAATTCTTTTAAGATTGTTAAATCTTATTTCTATTTTAACTGATTATAGTTTCATCATATATATATCTGTTATTTTTTTCATATTGACTATAGTATGTAGTAAAAAACTCTTGGCCATTCTTTCCTTAACCATTAAAGCTTTCCTGTGAAAGTAAAGCAACTAGCTTTATACCTTAACATCTGTGAATATATCCAGATATCACCACAATATCAGTGACATAAGGCTTGAACGAAAGTTTACATTATTTTGATTCTATGTAAAATTGGGAAATCCTAACATCTTTTAAAAATGAACAAAATAATTATGTATATTACTGTGTCTTACCAAGTAATTGTTTAATATAAAATGTCTCACCATAACAAACTGAGACTTGAATTGTTGCAAAAAAGGATGAAAACACACATGCCTGATAGTTTTAAAACCAGGGAAATAAATGCATTAAGAGCAGGATGAAAACTAGATAAGTTCCATATAATTGCACTTATATTTGGAATCCAACAAAGTTGATTTCACAGAAGTAGGGAGTAGAACAGTGGTTACAGGGACTAAAAAAAAAAAAAGAAAGGAGGCAGAGAATGGGAAAATTATTAGTAAATGGTACAAAGCTTCGGCTAAAAACAAGTAAGTTCTAGTGTGTTTCTAACAAACAATGATAATGTACTATATATTTAAAAGAATTAAAAGAAAGGATTTTAAATTATGTCACCACCAAGAAATGAACTGTATTTTTTAGCAATGTTTGAGGAAATGTATCAGTGTTTACTAGAAAAACAGATATAACACAACATATACAAATATATAAGAATTCACATGATTGGCTTACAATGACCACCCACAGAAAGAGATGTGAAAGAGTGCAGACCATCTGTTTGCACACTAGAGACCAAAGGATTCAGTCGAAGATCTGGAGCTCACTGCAGTGTCACGTGCAAGTCCCTAACAAGAGGTGGATAGGTCTGCAATGGAAGACTGAAGAATCTGCACTGGAAGTTCAAGAGTCTGTGCTGGTAGCCAGGAGATGACATCTAAAGTGAAGGTGAAGACTGGAGCTCCTCTGAAGAAACAGAAGATGATGTGTCTTTCTTTATTTCCCCTTTATGCCATCCAGGTGACAAGCTACCCTAGGGTGGGTCTCCCACACTAGGGTTCCACACCCTAGGGTGTTGAACTTGACACAATCAATCAACCATCACAGGGGATAAATATGCTTACTCTGATTTAAACATTATACAATATATACATGTATAGAAATATCACAGTAAGCCCTATTAATATGTATGACTTTTATGTATCAATTAAAATTTTTTAAAAAAACAGAGGTCTTTACGCCCCATAAAATTTGTTTTTTATTTTTAGTAATAAAAGAAAGCTCACATAGGATGCCTATACATTTGGACCTGACTCTCACTTTGTAAATGAGCAACAACACCTACACTCAGGAAAAACAATTAAATTCACTGTGAAGAAAGGAGGCGTCACTAGCATAGCAGGCACCTTGAACGTCCTTCAGCCTGTAAATGTCAGAAGCCAAGAGTCTCATTTAGCAAAAATGCTTAAAAGCAAAAACCATTCTTATCCTGTCCCAAAGTTCTCAGGTGCTGGCAGAGACTGAATGTGTGGAACTATGGCAAGGTCAAATAAATTGTCTTTGGAGAAAGCATTTGCGGTGACATTTCAAAAACTAAAAACACACAGATTAAACCCATTAAAACCTAGCCAGAAGGACAAAAGAGAAAAAATAAATTAAAAACCTGTAAAAAAAAAAAAGAAAAAAAAGAACCCGTAAAACCCCTTAGAAAGAATTATCCTTTATAGCCCAATCTCTAAACAAATAGGGACCATGGCTGTGGAGGGGAGGCAGCATTAATGTCATTAAAACTTCACTCTTCATATACATGTTCTTACTGCTTCAAATCAAACTACTTGGTTAGGCACTTATTAAGACATCACTATCACATAATGTGGCTAATGTTTTTAAAGCATCAATAGACGCTTGCAATTACTTCAGAAAGTAATTCACTAATTGACCATTTTGCCATAGCTCCATATGGTGAAAGACTAATCAGTCCCCATCATGGCATGTTTCAAGACCTCAAGAACATTTAGAAAGCTACTGCTGAGCCTATATGGAGAGAAGATGTCAGAAGAAGTAGATCCCTGTGAATCCAACAACAGGACATTAACTATAATGGTGGTATCACTGAAAATTGTGTTTCCCATTCACATCAGCTCTAATGTTGATGTGGTCAGACACATTGATCAGATCATCTAGGATTTTAACTAGAGATGATCACAAAAAGTTTATTCTTTTGTTGAGGTAACTTTCAGGAAGGTACAAAGAAGAACCAGAAGAGAAAGCAAAGAATTGTTTGTATAAAAAAAAATAAATGAAAAAATTAAACTGTGCAATTAGCCCCAAAGTTTTTTTTTAAACCAAGCCATCCTTCATTAGAAAGAAATTATAAAGCTTTGTCCTTTACATCTAGAACAAATGGTAACTCTGAGTGAACAATGATTTGTGTTAGGACTCAGAAAACATTCCAGAGTATGGTGCTTTGGGCTCTAGGAGCCACCTCAAAAATCAGTCTCTCCGACTGTCTTCTGTCCTCCTACTTCCTGGACTTCTTTCTTCCCTGTAAGGCAAACCTCAGACACTAAAATTTCTTAGGTCTGGGGTGTAGCAAGTGGTAGAGCATGCACTTAGCATGTGCAAGGTCCTGGGTTAAATCTTCAGCACCAAAAAATGAAATGAAATTTCTTTTCCTTGAGGTTAGTGATAGAAACTAGAATCCCTTTCCCCAATGCAAGACGTATCCTAAAAAGATTAATCTTCCCCTGCCATTCTGTCTTAGAGCTGACCATGAAGAAATTCTCTGACCTACCTTGCTTCATAGATCATGATCTTAGCATTAGATCAAATCTTTTCTAATCATCAAAATAAAAGCATAAAAATATGGAGAGCTCTGTCTTTCAGTCTTCATTCTAAAGGCTCCTGTGCAGATAAAACTTTAATTAAATAAATTTGTTAGGCTTTTTTGCCCTCTTAACCTGTCTTTTGTTATAGAGGGTCAGACATGACCCTTATCACAGGTGAGAAAAGTTACCACTTATTCTATGCCCTTTATTTACAAAATCAAAGATGGGAGGGTACAATGAGAAAAAGATGTACAGGTCAGGACGTGAGAATTCAGATGCTGCTGCTGAGGACAGCAGTAATTAGGAGAGATGATTCCTGGGCCGAACCCTAGACCTCATACCCTGAGCCTGACAGATGTGCCACCTGTCTAAAAAGACAAAAGAAACTAAAGCACATCCTTAGAAGTCCAAAAAGATGCACAGGTCAAAGTGGTCTGCTCAAAGATGCACATCACTATAATTTCCGAAGCCCCAGTGCACACATAATAAACCTCTCATTGTTGGAGGATGGTGTTGAAAAATGTTTCCTTAAGATATTAAGATTCAAACCTCAACTGGCAAAGCTAGATCATGTTTTAATTTAGAGGATGTTGTACAAATCACCTAAAAGATGTTAAATTCTCCTATGGGGTCACTAGACCATAATTAAGGTCACATATGCAAAGTTCTTTGTCATGGTGCTCTTTAAATGCATACTCTGCAAAAAAAATTTCCTCTTGTAAATGTTCTTTTTTTTACCCTCCACCACAGTAAAGTAAAAGTGTCCATCTATCAAGTTCAAATCCTGATCAAACGTAACTGTAAAAGACACATCCTGGAGGAATAAATGACTCAGAAAACAAAGGTATCTGGTAGCCTGCCTGCAACCCACACATTCATAATTTAGCAAGCAATCATCACTTTCTTTCAATAACTTAGAATTGAGACAATGTGAGATGGATGTTCATAATTCATGAATAAGTTACGTTCTTCTTCAGAAAGGTAACAGCCATGCGCCATCAACGTCTGGAGAGAAGAGTGTCACGGAGTTCATCAGTCAAAAATGCCTATGCTAGTATTCTCTCACCAGGGGATATTACAGGGAGAGATGGAAGCTGTGACTTAGCTGTTTCTATCTCCATAAGAACTGTCATGATCATTTATATGTATAAAATCCCTCGGTATAAATTTTATACCTAGGAAATACCTTTAAAATATTTTATCGTGAAAGTCACAGCAAATCTGTGTACCTTTATTCCTTTCTTGTTGGTCTATAAAATAATGAGGGTTTGTCCATGTGATCTTGATCCAAGATATCCAACCAGTTTAAAGATATTATTACTCTATTATCTCTACTTTAGAAAACTGTCAAGTGGCTATTCTTCATAAGTGCATATGTGAACAACTGGTAGGGCTCTGCTTATTCCTAGTCTAATGAGAACTTTTTAGAAATACATAGAAGCTATGAGAGTGGTCCTGCAAAGAACTATTCTTTATTTCTCCTTTTGGTTTTAATATAGCCCCAATAGTCTTGACACATATCACCAAATAAATTTTAACTCACCAATGTTCACATCTTCATAAAATCTAGGAAATCTATGTAAGCATTAATTTATAAGGTAAAATTCATGCAAGAAAGTAGGCACTTCCCTATGAGACCTCTCCAAATTTTTAGGATCTGTCATATTTGTGAGTTTTCTTCGAAGACTTTACTTCTTCAAAATTCTTTTTCCCTCAGTATAAAACCTGCATCTAAATTGCTTTCTCTCTCAGAAGGAATTATTTCAGTGACCATAGAAGTATTTTTAAAGTAAAATGTCCCAACCTCTATGCAAATAAAATATGCAAATTGAGGTTAATGTATTAACCATATAGAAATATACACAGAGGACATAGTAATATGATGCAGCATTTACATGACTTTTGCAGCATATTAACCTTTTATATAAGCTACATTGATATTTCCATTCCCAAGGTCACCAAGAAATTATGTGCTGCAGTAAACTCTCCATACAGTTTGCACATTACACTGAAGGACAAGGCCAAAGGCTACATTACTATAATGAGGACTCTTGTCACTTACTAATTTGAATTAATTATAGCACTAATCTGTACTTATTCTTAGAGTTTAGAAATACTTCCACTTTCTCACTGAGAAAGAGTATTTTAACATTCAGTTGTGCCTTCAAGCACTTTCTGCTATATGAGAACACACCTACACATCAGAACACATCAAACTTTACTGTGCATTCTTCCTTGGAAGCCTGGACACTTCATTTTTGGTGAATGTTGGACAGAATTCTAATGATGTATGTTTTATACTTTAACCAATTCCCTACCTAATGGTCATTTTTAAACTTTCACATGTAATTAACATCCCTATTTATATTCCTTACAGAATAGATCTTTAGAAATGCATTTGCTGCCTCAAAGGAAGGCACATTTCCATGCTAATGGTACTATCAGAATGTTTCTGGAACAAATGACATTACACCCTGGAATGAAGCCTTTAGATTTGACGAGGATGAAACTTCACACACAATTGTAGACCCCACCCCCCCTCCTACATACACAGTGGATTTTAGTCTAGTTTGGTAAATGCATTCATGTCACAGAAGTTTGAAGATTACAACTGAGATTTTAAAATTTAGATAAATGTTCCCTACTTTATATAGATTATGTCATGAAATAGATTTTAAAATTTAGATAAGTATACCCTACTTTACTAGTTTATGCCACAAAATAGAATGTATCTTATTGATCAGAAGATTGTCTTTATCATGGACATTTGTATAGTTTTTATAAGTGAGGCATAAGGTTTTCACCACTTCACCTTATGGAGCTTCTTACATGGCTCTACAAGAAAAGGTATTTTCAAGTTGTTTCTGTAAAATATTAGAAATTATTTTTCATCCCACAAATGCTGTGTGGCTGGTTTCTACTTGCTAATGTGGGGGACCATGTAGGAAGACAACAATAACTACATGTGGGTTTTAGTTAAAATAATTATATATACCACATACAATGTATGACAGAGATAAGTAACACGAATGTGTGTGATCTCAAGACAAATTTTTCCAACAAAGTCTTATAATTTCAAACTGCTGTAAAAAAAATATAAAGTAATGCTTAATGAGAGTCAGAGCCTACTTATTTGTA